CGCGCGGGTCACGCCATCTTTCAGGGCCCTGGCCGGGGCTGCGGCTGCTTGTCTGTCTGTGGATTTCCTCCAGCTCCATCATGTGGAGGCGACAGCAGGGCCGCTTCAGGCCCGTGGGCTGCGGGGTGGAAGAGCTACGGCGCTGCCGGCGGGAGCGGGAGGCAGGTGAGGGCGGGTGAGGGAACACAAGAGGATGAGGGTATGGCGGTCGGAGATGGGGTGAGGAGGCCCCCGGGTCGGACCGGGTAGTTCTGGGGCCTGGGCGCTCTTCCCACGCTCAGCCGCTTCCTCTACCACCAGCGCTGCGGAAGGCCCGGAGGGAGCAGCAGCTGGTCAGCAAAAGGCTGCTGAGAGACAGCGCGCTGGAGGAAGCCGAAGGGGTGGCCGCGATCCTCGGGGAAGCCGAGGTGAGGGGGCCGAGGTGAGGGGGCCGGGGACGGGGCAGGGTTCGCGGTGCGATCCACGCCAGCTGGCGCCGAACCCTGTCACTAGCTTTCCCATCCCGCGAATACTCGAGAACCGCCCCCAAACCTGAACGTGGTCTACAGTACAACTCCGTCCACCTAGTGGGGCAAAGCTGGAAACCAGGGAATCATCTTCGACATTCCCCTGTCCCTCATCCTCATATAAATCAAGTCCTAACAGTTTTACTTCCTAATAAGCCTTTCTTTCACCATCGCGGCTTCCACCATCATCTCTTCTTTGGATACTACAGCAGCCTCCTAACGGGTCATCCCGCATCTACGCTTGCTGCCCTCCAGTTCATTCACATATCATCAGATGGGTCTTTTAAAAACACACATAAAGACCAAAATTCTTCCTGTGACCTGCAAAGCCCAACATGGTCTAGCTTCTGCCCACCTTCAACCTTATCCGCTTACTCATCTCAGCCACATTGGCCTTTTTTTAGTTTCTGGGACAGCATACCAGGCTCTTTCCTGTCTCATGGCCTTTGCACTTGCTGCATCTAAAGTGAGCCCTCTTTGGTATTGGCAGTTTATTTGTTTCTTACAGAATATTAATCATATTATCTAGTTGTTTGCTTGCTTATTACTGTTTCTCCAACTAGACTTTAAATCCATGATAAACTATGCCCTGTTTTGTCATCATTGAAAACCCAGCAGCCTGCACAATATCCACCATATAGCAGATGCTCAGTATTTATCAAATGAACAAATAAAAGACCTGGTTTTAGCAAGCATTAGGGATCCTCTGTGTCTATGTTTACATATATAGCTTATAAAGCACTTAAGTCTGGGTTATTCCATTTATTCATTGTTTGCACACTTTATGCCAAGATATTGTGCTGGACACTGAGAGACACAAAGAAGAAAAGATAGCAGTCCCTTTGAAGAGCTCACAGCCCAGATGTGATACCTGTTGTAACGGAAGGAAGCTTGGGCACAATAGAAACCTCTAAGTCTGCCAGAGGAAACCAGGAAGAGCTAATTTCCCAGAAGCAATGACAGGAGTTGGAATCTGAAGAGAGTGAGGGTCTGGGAAGGCATCCCAGGTAGAAGGACTAGCATACGCCAAGCTTGGAAGCATTAAACAACAAGCCATATTATGCTGGGTGTTGTAGTGTAGGTTGCAGTGGAGAGAATAGCTGGAGTGGTAGGTTAAGACAGGCTGAGAGGTTTAAATGTTATCCTTGAAATAACCCTGTATGAAGGTGGCAGGGTAAAATATTGTTTATTCCCAATTTTCAGGTGAAGAAACAGGTTCAGGTCCGTTGTAGAGTAAGTAGCAGGGCTGGCATTAGAATCCAGTTCTGATTCCCTTCTGTATAGTTCACTGCAAGATTAGTGCTTATTAGCTATATTAGTGGGAATGGCAAGTTCTGGAGATGGCGTGGTATTGGAGGACCCACAGGTGAAGTGGGCAGAGTGGGACTCAGGACTTGCTTCCTGGCAACTGTGTGTCCTCTCCTTGCCCTGGGCTCCAGATCCAGCAGTTCCTGCGGTTAGCCCAGCAGGGGACAGAGGGAAAACAGAGAGAGAAGGCGCTGGTCCACCTTCGTCGAGGCTTGCAGCACCTCGAGACACAGCAAACTTTCATCCGGTCAGTGTGGGTGCTGTGAGTGGGTGGCTAGGGCTCTGGGGAATGGACAGAAGAGAGTGGGGGGAGGGGGGAAGATGGGCCACAGCCCGAGCAGGACTCTGGTGCTCATTATATAGGCTGGAGGGCAGTATGCGGACCCTGATCGGGCTCCTGACCAGCAACCAGGCCCTGCTGCAGCTTGAGGCGGCTAGGTGCCTGCATGAGCTCTCTCATTCTGAGCAGCCTGCGGTGGCTGAGGCCTGCCTGCCAGCCACTTCCTACCTCCTCACCTACCTCTCTGGTCACAGCTCAGACTTCATAGTAAGCCCCATCCCTTCCTACCTTGTTCTTGGTTTGGATTAAAAAGTGGTGCTTTTGGGTCTAGTTTTGAGCTGGCAGGTAGAGGGGAGAAGAAAACCTACTAACCCTGATGCCCACAGCGAGTATACACCAATCATCTCCCACCCTCTTGTGCCCAGAGCCTTGACAGGCTTGCTCCACTCCCCTCTCCCCATCCCAGCCTAGTGTGAGACAGGCCAAGCGCAGTGCTTTTGTTGTCCCACTCTCAGGAGCTGTGTCTGTACACACTGGGTAACCTGATTGTGGAGAGTGAGGCTGTGAGAAGGCAGCTCCTGCCACAGGGCATTGTCCCAGCCTTGGCTGCCTGCATCCAGGTGAGTGTCCACCTCCTTACTCCACCTCTGGGTAATTCTCTCCCCTCACTTCTCACATACCCCACCTATTTTGATTAGGTAGTTCTAGCTTCTACCCTGTGCCAAGCGGCTGAAAGTCTCAGAAGACCTTATGGCTTAGCTTCCAGTCAGAACCCTACCCTGTCTGCTTCTAGTCCCCCCATATGGCTGTGCTGGAAGCCCTTGGATATGCCTTGTCCCAACTTCTGCAGGCTAACGAAGCTCCAGAGAAGATCATTCCGTAAGTAAAATTGTGTCCCTAGATGTGTAGTAGGGAGTGACCTACTCAGTAGTGTAGCCCCCGGATTCTGCTTGAGTCCTTTCCAAAGCTGTTGTGTACCTTGACTGTGTTTGGCTGCCTAAAGCTTTGGGTATGGCTATTTTCCCACCTGCTGTCAGGAAGAGCAACTGCCATCTCACCTTCTGTGTTTCCTACTCACGGCCCTGCTTCTGCTGGCAGCTCCATCCTAGGCTCCGCTATCCCCCGGCATGTGCTGCGACTGTTGCAGCCTGGTCCAAAGCTGAGCCCTGGGGTCGCTGTGGAGTTTGCCTGGTGCCTTCACTACATCATCTGCAGGTAACACGGGTCAATTGGGAAAGTGCCCCAGACCTTTCCTGGGGCTCCCTTCCATGGCACTTGGGGTTTTGAACTTTGGTTTCTGGAACTGCTGTGGTGAGTTTTCTTCACTATGTGCTGCTCTCTTCTTGGAGCCCAGGAGATGCACAGACCTAAGCTATTTCTCAGCTTAAAGATGAGATTGACTGGTTGTTTCCTGTTTACCTAGCCAGGTCAACAATGCCCTGCTCATTACCCATGGGGCTCTGTCTACTCTGGGGCTGCTGCTATTGGACTTGGCTGCGGCTGTCCAGAGAACTGAGGATGCAGGATTGGAGCTGGTGGGTGAAGAGGACAGATCAAGGTCTGGGGGACCTTTCTTCACACTGTGCCCCTCCTCTGGTGTGCTGGTAGCCCCTTCTTTCTTACACCTGACCCTCAACTTCTCTTTGCAGCTGGCATGCCCTGTGCTTCGGTGTCTCAGTAATCTGCTAACAGAGGCAGCAGTGGAGGCTGTGGGAGGGCAAATACGGTTCGGAGATGAGCGTGTTGTGGCAGCCTTATTTATCCTTCTGCAATTCTTCCTCCAGAAACAGCCCAGCCTGCTTCCTGAGGGTCTCTGGCTCCTTAACAACCTAACTGGTATGAACAATCCCTACCCAGGCCTGGATATGTAAACTAAGTTGGGGATACTTCCTCATGGCTTGGGCTGAGGTGAGTAGGATGGGGCAAGAGGTTCAGGCCCCAGTTTGAGGGCTTCATCCTGACATTTTTTCCTTCCAGCAAACAGTCCTAGTTTCTGTACCTCTCTGCTGTCCCTGGATCTGATTGAGCCTCTCTTGCAGCTGCTGCCAGTATCTAATGTGGTGAGCGTGTTGGTAGGTATCGGGGTCACTGAGTGACCTGGTAGCCAAAGTGTTAACAGTGGGAGCAGGCCTGAGCCCACAGAAATGCCTTTAGCTGGTAACTGACAAGTGGTGTGGTACAACTTCAGGACCAGGCCAGTCTAGGTGTGTGTCCCTAGACTGTTGCTTACTAGTTACCAACCATGGGCAAATCAACGAACCACCTTAAACTTGGTTCCTCATTTATAATTGAGGATAGTAATCTTACCTCTGAGGGTAGTTGTGGGGGTTATAGAACATGCATATAAAAGTCCTTGGTACACATGGGAAATTAGGAGTGGAAAGGAGGAGTGTGCTGTCACAGTATAGGGAGAGCAATCAGGGCCACATAACTATGTATAATTTTTTTTATAAGAGACTAACTTGAAATGTAAACTTTCACTTAAACTACAACAATGAACAAAATAAATGAATAAATAAAAGTGTTTGGTACAACCAAACAGTCAACAATTACTTTAAAACAAAGATGAAAATGTAAGGGGCAAGGAAACTAGGTTAATAGAAATGGAACAACCAGAAGAAAAATATTGAGAATATTCATGCATTGTGAAGAATGTAACCAATGTCACTGAACAATTTGTACAGAAGTTGTTGAATGGGAACCTAAACTGCTGTGTAAACCTTCACTGAAAACACAATAAAATATTATTTAAAAAAAAAGCACTTTGCACAGTACCTGGCATATATTTTAGCTGTTATTATGATCTCAGACTATATATGTCCCTGTCTGCAGGTGCTCACAGTTCTGTGCAACGTTGCAGAGAAAGGTCCTGCTTACTGCCAGCGGCTGTGGCCTGGGCCCCTTCTCCTCTCCTTGCTGGACACGCTGGCCTTCTCTGACACTGAAGTAGTGGGCCAGAGTTTGGAGCTGCTGCAGCTGCTGTTCCTGTATCAGCCGGAGGTAGGTTTCTGGCCTGGGTCCCCTGTCCACCTGCTCTGAAGCCTGTGGTCTCACAGTGGCCACCTTCTCTTCCAGTCCTAACTATAGTTACTTTTCTGGGCCTGGCTGGCCTATAAGGGTTCTGGGTCAGAACCTTCATCCTCTTGTTAAGAATGAACCCTCTTCCAGGAGGTGGGCTAATCTTCATGATCTGGCTTTACTTGAAGGCTGTGGGAATTGAGTGTTAGGGCTCAGAGACCCAGGCACTGAATACCTTTTTTTCCTGTCCCCAGGCAGCCCAGGCCTTCCTGCAGCAGTCTGGGCTGCAGGCTCTGGAAAGGCATGAGGAGGAAGCCCAGCTCCAGCACCGTGTACGTGCTCTACGGGAGACAGCCCTCCATGGGTGACCTGACTTCTTGATGTCACCCAACACCCCCCACTCCAGCATCCTTGCCCAGTTTCTCTTAGGAGCCAGTGGAACCCCTTTGGGTTCAGAACCATAATGAGGTCTCATGCTCTCTGCTCTCACACCTAAACCTAAGCCAAGATCTTTGGACCCCAGCTCCTGCTTTTTCACCCTGCACTGTCCAAGCAGGAGGATCAGAAGGAACTCAGTCTGGCCTACTTATTCTGGGGCCTTATAAACTCCTTTTCTTGCTTCAGTAGCTGGTGGCTTTTGATGGGCCAGAATAAAGATTTATTTTTTTTATTAAACTGCTTTGCCACAGTGGTTAAACAATGAGGGGTGGGGTAGGGGAGTGAGGAAAAGGACATTCTGAGACAGTATTTTACAGCACAAGCTCACAAGCTTTATAGAGAACAGAATATGTTTTTCCATATTGTACTCAGTCCAGTAGAGCCCAAGCTTGGGAAGCTGCTCTTAATCCTCAGTTGAGGCTTCAGGCTTTGCCATGTAGCACGTTCTCTATAGTTCTGGTTACCTGATCAGCACTGAAGTTGTTCAAAGAGACATTCTTCTCTTGGCCAAATGCTGAGGAGAGAGGGAGGTGACTAAATATCTACTCTGCACTGTGGGGACTATGAAAGTATAATAAAAGGGACTTGTCTGTAATTTACAATTTTGTTATGGCAGGAAAAGTAGTAAAGAGATCTGAACAAGGTGGAGTTGGTATGCTTAGAATTTATCCAGTGGGTCTCAATGAAATCTGGGAAGCCCAGGTCCAACTGGAATTTTGGCCAATTCTGAGTGGCCATAATGGGAAGAAAGGCCTTTCAGAGAAGTTTCCAGGGGCATTGTGGGCATTTTTAAAGGCACCCTGGTGGCACAGCAGTAAAGTGCTCATCTTCCAACTGAAAGGTCGGCAGTTTCAACCCACCAGCTGCTCTGCAGGAGAAAGATGTGGCAGACTGCTCCTGTAAAGATTACAGCCTTGGAATTGCTATGGGGCAGTTTTACTCTGTCCTATAGGGTCACTATGAGTTGAAATCAACTCAGTGGCAACAGGTTTGTTTTTTTGTTTTTTTATAGAGTTGTTATGAGTTGAAACTGACTAAACAGCAATGGTTTTGGTTTTTTTTGCAAGCATTATATCAACCACTGTGAGCAGATCATTGCATGGGCCTAGCCTTGGCCCATTCTCCGGGCTCCTATAGTCCATCTAGCATAAACCTAGCACGATACACTAAAGTTCCTGGGAGACACTCAGTCACAAACTGACTTCCCCTCTTGTCTACTGGCTTTTGGAAGGAGGGCCTTTCTTCCTCCTCCAGCACACCTATTAGTGCAAATGTCCACTGTTAGCTGAACTAATCTGCCTTAAGTGTGACTCTCCCCACTCCCCTACCCCAAAGTCCTAGGGCTGGTCAAATGCAGGGTGGAGTTAAAAGCTGTTAGTAAAATCCACTATTAAATACATAGAAATGTTTACTGGGTACCTACTATGCACTGGGCACTGCATTAGGTGGTAGGGATGCAGCAGCAAACATAATAGGAATAATTTCCGATTGCGATAAATTAAAATGGGGTTATATGATAAAAAGGGGCTGGGAGCAATGTTAAATAATTCGTCAGGGAATGCCTTTTTGAGGAGGTGATATATAAGGTCACACCTGACTAATAACAAGGAACCAGCCAGGGAAGTCTGGGATAGGTGCATTCCAGGAAGGAGGAGAAAAATGTAAAAGCTCAATTCCATTTTATCTTAGCTGCATAACCTTAGATATGCTCCTTCAAGTTTTGACCGAGTTTTCTAATCTCTACAATGAGAATAAAAAATAACCCACCTCTTCATATGATTTGTTCAGATTAAATGAGATTCAGCAGGAAAGCACTCAGCATTAAGTGCTCAACAAGGAGTCGCTATTTTAAGTTTTTATTATTGAAGAGTCTCATGCTCTACGGGGGCCAGCAATTCCCACTCGTGATTTAGAAGGGCCTACACTGCTGGGGGAGGCCTGGTGGCACAGTGGTTAAGAGCCCAGGCTGCTAACCAAAAACGCTGGCAGTTCGAATCTACCAGCCGCTCCTTGGAAACCCTATGGGGTGGTTCTACTCTGCCCTATAGAGTCACTATGAGTCGGAATCGACTCGACAGCAACCGAACGGACACTGATGGGAATTGACCAGCATCTCTTTTACCCTATCTGAAGCTTGTTTTGAACTAAAAAAACAAAACGACAGCTCTTGGTCCCTATGCAAGACCGAGGCCATCTCCACATAGATGCTGCCCGGGATACAAAGCATCCTATAACTCTGAGAATGAAAAATTTTTTTATCGGCAGCAAGGTCAACAGGAAGGTTGGAGTCCGAATTCTAGTCTCTTCACAGGTTTTTGGGTGACCTTGGGCGGCCCCTTCTCTTCTCAATCCCTTGTTCCCCCACCTGGGTCCCAGACCCCCAGAGTAACGCGCTCACCGTAGCGGGCCCAGAGCCTGGGCTGTACATCGGAGCACTCGCGGATTAGGATGGGTAGGTCGGGGTTCGTCTTCTTCAGCTCCACGTACTTTTTCTCGATGAAGTCCCTGCGAGGACGGAGAGAGCGCGGCGGGTGGTGTGGGTGCCGGCTTCCTCACCTCCCGAAGCGGAGATCGTGACCCTGGCGTCCCCAAAACCCGTCCAGCTGACCACGCCTCGCCTTACCTGACGCCCTGACTGCCGGACGAGCGCTGGCATAAATGGATGCGAATCTCACGCAGGGCCAGTTTTGCCCCGACCCCTCGAGTCGCTGCGACCGCCGCCATCTTCACTAGTACAGAAGCCTCCTAGTCTTGCAATCCAACCAATAGGGCACCCTCCAGCTTCTGCGATAGGTTGGATGACGGAGGAGGCGGGGTACAGTTTAGCCAATGATATAAAAGCATTCTAGTGCCCATATTAGCTCTTCTTTCAATTTCTGTTCCAGCAGGCAGGTTGCTATAGCGATGACGCATGGGAGAGGCTAGAAGCGGAAAGGCTGCGGAACGCAAAGCACTCTGGGTTGATTTTTGAGGTGTATTGTGGGAAAAGCCTGTCGTTGCTGTGTTGTTGGAACTTCGGCCCTTGCTGGCGTTGAAAGACTGCGGACAAAATGCCGGAGCGAGACAGTAAGGCTCGAGTTCTCTGCCCTTTCTCCGCTGCAGGACTCGGGGCACTCGGCTCGTTACTTTGACTTCAGAGCTTAAGCGGGGGTTTGGCGGGGTGTGTGACGCCCGGAGCCCAGCGAGGCCGTCAGGCCCGGAGTGAGGCCGAACAGCTTCCAACCCTGTCCCGGAGCTGCTTCCTGTCCCAAGTGAGGACGGGAAACCCCCACCTCAATCACTTAATCCTGAATTGCGCCTATTCATCTTCCGCATAGTATTTTCGCTGTGATCTTCAGGAAGTCTTTGCTGATTTAGGGGTCTGACTGTGGCCCCACAGCTCCTTGTTTTTTCCCATCTCAACACATTATGTTGTATTGTCAGTGTCTCGTTTCACGCCTTTCATCCTCACTAGGTTGTGAGCAACTTGAGGCCAGGAAACACGTTTGTATCGTTTACTATTATATTCCTTGAGTTTTTGCACAGGGCCTGATACATAAGAGATTGATTAAATTAATGCAATTCTTCTTTTTAGGCGAGCCGTTCTCCAACCCTTTGGCCCCAGATGGCCACGATGTGGATGATCCTCACTCCTTCCACCAGTGAGTGTTTTGTTGTAGGGCTATGGGAATGAGCTGGGCGTGGAGTTGTGGTGGTGATAACAGAAGAATTCTGAATGTCTTATCAGCAAGGAAGGAGCCCTGGTCGCGCAGTGGTTAAGCGCTTGGCTGCTAATCGAAAGGTCGGAGGTTCAAACCCACCAGCGGCTCCACGGGAGAAAGATGTGGCAGTCTGCTTCTGTAAGGATTTACAGCTTTGGAAAGCCTATGGGGCTGTGCTGCCCTGTCCTGTAGGGTCGCTATGAGTTGGAATTGACTCAGCAACAGTGGTTTAGGTTTGGGTTTTGTCAGCAAGGATGGCCAAAAAGTTGTACCACTTACCACATCAACTCTGTGAACTTTACTTTAACTAGATCTGGCCATCTGCATGTAAAGAGAGTTATTAGAGGAAATTCTGATAGGAAGGATGCTAATTTTTTAAAAAATGAAACTGTAATTATACATTATATATCAGTTTGCTACTTGCTCTTTTTTGACTTAGCAATATTTTGGAGATTTTTTCATGGCAGTATTTAAACCGCTGCATAGTATTACATTGTACGGCTATTACATAATTCATTGCTTCCCTAAATTCATTCATTGTGTTCCACCTCCAAATTTTTGCCGTAGCCACCTACAGCTTGTACTGTTATTGATTCCTTCTTAAAAACAAATACATTTATTTAAGTAGGAAACTTAATATCACTACTAAAACCCAAAAACCAGTGATCACTTGTTAGATAGAAAATGCCCAAGAAAAAAGAAGGGCATTCAAAAACAAAATAATGTTGCTCCTCCTAAGTATTGTACCATTCTAAGTATTGTATTATGTAAGACATAATCAGCATCTCTGTAAATGCACGGCTAAGTTAAGAAATAAGGGAAATTTCCAGGTGTTAGAAACTTTGGTGATAAGTGGGTACTAATGTGACCTTCAGGAAGTCTTTGCTGATTTAGGAGGAAGACTTATTAACAGCCTGTGATATACAGATGACACAAGCTTGCTTGCTGAAAAGGAAGAGGACTTGAAGCACTTATTGATGAAGATCAAAGACTACAGCCTTCAGTATGGATTACACCTTAACGTAACGAAAACAAAAATTCTCACAACTGAACCAATAAGCAGTGTCATGATAAATGGAGAAAAGAATGAAGTTGTCAAGGATTTCATTTTACTTGGATCCACAGTCAGTGCCCATGGAAGCAGCAGTCAAGAAATTAAATGATGTATTGGAAAAATCTGCTGCAAGTGACTTCTTTAAAGTGTTAAAAAGCAAAGACATCAAACTTGAGGACTAAGGTGTGCCTGACCCAAGC